GCGATCTACCTGCTCACACCATACGTCTAAAAACCACGACGGACTCAGCTCCGCAGTGAGATGGCGCTGCTCAGATTCGTCTATCCGGAAACCAATTGAGTAGAAGAGGAATATGAAGCTCACTAGAGTGAAACGCACTGCCTTGGCAATTTGTGCAATTTGTGCTAATAGCCCTAAAAAGAAAAGGTGACAACATATTTGGATAAAGACATGACTGAGCAAACATGGCTACTACAGTCTGTCAATTTTACAGAAAGAACTCCATTTCACTTGCACCCCTGCAATGCTTCTGTGTTTTTGTCTGAGAGGAAGAAGAAGAGGAGGCTTTGTTTGCGACTGAGCGATTTGCCCACGAACATGTTTTATTTTCTCCCGACCTCACGATTCCTGATCGGGAGGTGGTCATGGGAGGCTGATCCCCCCTCGTTACCCCCTGTACACTACACGACACACGAAAAACTTCTCGCACTACTAGAAAGTTGGCCCGAAAAGGGCAAAAAATTGCACAGTGTAAGTCCGGCTTGAGCATCTATGAGTGATGCAAACAGCATCTCACGCAGGCTCTTGCGCGCATTTAATAGGCGTGCATTTAACAGGGTTGTGCATGTGCATTTTTATTTTTTAAGTAGACAGGGACGGTCTTTATGGAGGATAAAAAGTGCCAAAATTAAATAAATAAATTTAGCATGAAATAAATAATTAAATGTGTCAATAATTAATTAAATGTGGAATTAAATAAATAAATGTGTCATTAATTAATTAAAACCACATCACTAATATAAAGTGCCACAATTAAATAAATAAATACAGCCATAAACAGTGAATTAAATGCGTAATTCATTAAATAAATAAGGAATTAAATATATAAATGTGTCATTAATTCAATAAAATACGTCTTAATTTTATAAAAGAAATATATATATAATTATTTCAGTGTGCGTTTAATTATTTCATGGTCCTGTGTCGCAGTGCATCGAAACCATTAAAAGAATCTGTCAAACTCACCCATCAAAGTTAGGGGGCGGTTAACTAACACCTGATTGGTCACCCTGCACATTAAGGCGAAGCAAATCGATTACAGAGACTCGATTCACGTTAACCCCGCCCCCTAACTTTGATGGATGAGTTTTCTTATAATTATATATATATTTTTAATAAAATTAAGACGTATTTTATTAAATTAATGACACATTTATATATTTAATTCCTTATTTATTTAATAAATTACACATTTAATTAATTGTTTATCGCTGTATTTATTTATTTAATTGTGGCACTTTATATTAGTGACGTGGTTTTAATTAATGAATGACACATTTATTTATTTAATTCCACATTTAATTAATTATTGACACATTTAATTATTTATTTAATGCTGTATTTATTTATTTAATTTTGGCACTTTTTATCCTCCATAGGTCTTTTCAAAAATTCTCCACTATTAAATGTTTCAAACATGAAACAGGATTTGTAACATGTGGAACAGATAAAGTTAGCCAACACTGAGCTTTTGGTATGACCCCGGTCTTGAGCTCAATGACAATTCATGCCTAAAAGCAGAGTCTGTGTCGGGAAATTCAAATGAACTCTGTCATATTCGACCAAACATGAGTCTGTTTGGAAACATCTGTATGTTTAAGTCTGACCATTTGCGCGAAAGAAGCAAAAAAAGACAATTAATTTAAATATCCCCCCTCATTTGTTGCTTGAAAAATCCATTAAACATTGTGTTGTGTGACCAGGCCAGCGAACATAAAGGGACCAATTCAAACTAAAACATTATAAGCTCCAAATTAATTGAACATTCATGCCAAAGATTAGAAGATGCAAACGTCTGATCCGACTTTTAGCTGCGGCTTAGAAGAAGAATTAGTTCAGGGTTGAGCTAAAGAACTCCGATCCAAAGGGCAAGGTAATGCATCATGTCACAGAGTAACAGCAGAGTGAAACAGAGATCATGTGTGTGTGTTGAGATGTGTTAGTGGTTTACAAACCACAACAGGACCTCAGTGACTCTGAATACTCATTATCCAACAGGAATGAAAACAAAGCCATATTCCTGGAGCACTATTTATTATTACAACCTTAACCTACAGTTTCAGCATTAGCTGGTGCTCATTAAGCGCGTTTTATTGTGCAGAAACAAGCTTGCAATTTCCTGTTTGCTTTTTGAAAAAATAATTAAATGAGCCTCTCAGGACTAACAAGAAGTAAATAAGTATAGCAAGAAAAACTAGTGTTAATTTAATTGACTAGAAATATGTTTTCAACTTAGAATATGTAATTTAAAACGTGCATTTTAATGAATTAATGTTCTTTTGGCAACATTACAATCATTACCGAGATTTCTGTCACAGATTAACATGAAGAGATGCATAATTGTGGAAGGAAATGTGTGCCTGCTCGTATGGTAAAAAGAGTTTGACATGTATTTTCATGTGCAGCGTGGGATTCCCTGAGCTGTGTCTCTAACAGCTGTGTGGAAGTCTGTTTTTTACTGTTTTCATTGCAAAAGAAAAAAAAATACAGGAAAAAAAGAGGGTGTGAGCAACAATCCTTAAGCCTCTCACAGATCTTTCTTTGGATCTAGGGTCTGGAAGGTGACTGGGCCCCTCCTGCTCCAAACGAACAGGTGATTAACAGGCTTCAGCAGCACTTGGTGATATCATGAATAAAAAGCACATATGAAGCACAGCAGGGTATGAAGACTAAGGCTGAGAACTTTTGCAGGTTTTTCTTCCAGGATTGCCTGTTTTCAACTGCATCCTGAACTATAACCAGCAGCCGTGTCATTCGTAGGCAAGGCAAGGCAAGGCAAGGCAAGGCAAATTTATATGTATAGCACAATTCAGTACAAAGACAATGCAAAGTGCTTTACATGATTAAAATACAGGAAGATAAAACAGAATCAAAGCAAGTAGGAAAAAAAATAAAAAATAAAATAAAAAATGCAGAAACAAAAAAGGACTAAGAAAATATGTTTTAATTGAACTGTTTAACTAGAACAGTCGAAGGCAATCCTAAACAAATGTATTTTTAGTCTTGATTTAAAGGAACTCAGGCTTTCCGCACTTTTTACAGTTTTCTGGAAGTTTGTTCCAGATAAGTGGAGCATAGGAACTAAATGCTGCTTCTCCATGTTTAGTTCTGGTTCTAGGTATGCAGAGCAGGCTGGAGCCTGGAGTGGTCTGGAGGGTTGATACACTGATAGCAAGTCTGTGATGTATTTAGGGGCTAAGCCATTCAGAGATTTAAAGACTAACAGAAGTATTTTAAAGTCTATTCTCTGAGATACAGGGAGCCAGTGTAAGGACTTTAGAACTGGGGTGATGTGCTCTACTTTCTTAGTCTTAGTGAGGACACGGGCAGCAGCGTTCTGGATCAGCTGCAGCTGTCTGATCCACTTTTTAGGCAGACCTGTGAAAACACCGTTGAAGTGATCAATTCGACTAAAAATCATGCTCAGACATTAGTCCTTTAATCCTGGAAATGTTCTTCAGGTGATAGAAAGCCGACCGTGTAACTGTCTTTAAATGCTTTTGGAGGTTCAAGTCTGAATCCAGCACTACACCTAGACTTCGGGCCTGATCAGTGGTTACTAGCTGAAGCGACTGAAGCTGTGTGCTAACTTTAGATCTCTCCTCTATTGGTCCAAAGATTATTACTTCAGTTTTGTTTTTATTCAGTTGAAGAAAATTATGGCACATTGGTGAAGAAGAACACTCCCACTCCCACAGTATGATGCTACCACTACCAAACTTCACCGTAGCTATGTTCTGTTGAGGCTTTTTTTCCTTCTTCTACATGTATCCAATTCATGGGATCTACCATGATCTAGTCCTGGTTTAAACTATGGCCGATCATCCATTTAGTCCATTATTATAAGGGAGTACATAACTGACATGTGTCTTGACAGATTCTCCCACATGAGCTAGAGATCTCTGCAGCTCCTGCAGAGTAACAGCAGTCTTCTTAGCTGCTTCTCTTCACAGCTTTAAGTGATCCTTTAAAGGGCACGTTACTGTTTTTGATCACTTGCATTCCCCTTAGAAATGGAGTCCCCTCTTGTTCCTCAGTGAGTTCTAGAAGCACAAGATCTATATCCAGCCATTCAGCAAAAATCCTGCTACATGGCTGTACATCTTATTTTGGCATTTGACCAATAAGATGAGCTCTTAAATAATATATTAGCTACTGCAAATCAAGTCGGAAGTTAATAAGCCTAGTTAACAATTATATTTAGGTTTATATACTAAACAGTGTACATTTCAGTATCAGCATTAAAGCCTCTAAGGTTATGTTGTACCAAAAAAGGGTTTTTTAATGAACTTCTTATAGAAGCATTTTAATTTTTCTTATATAGATATATTCCGCAAGTTGGCGTTTCTTGTTTTTACATTGACATTCATTTTTGCCATTAAAATATCCATATTCTTTTAATGTTACAAAGGTAATAATGTCTTATCCTGGATTCCAATAGAACTATTGGCTTGAAATTTGGATTTTGAAAGTATTTCACTGAGTTCCCTATAAAGGGTTAAACTGGGATTTCTTAATAAAGATTAGATTAGATGAGATGAGCTTTATTTATCTCACAGCGGAGAAATTCACTCGTCACCTATTGGCATAGAAGTTACAGAAGGTGCATTAAGAATACACAATATATATACAGTATATCAAGATAAATAAGGATTAAGGTGCAGTGTACATGTATCGCACACAATGAAAAACAAAATAAAAATAAGAAATAAAATAGACAGATTGATGTTTATAAATTGGTTTCAGTGGACTTTATGCACATTAACTGGAAGATTTATACAAACATTTGCCCCAGTTTTGAGTTTTATTTTTTTAAAGTAAGAAAACCAAACTTTGTTTAGGGTTCTTATAATAAAAAGGACAACCTGAATAGCTTATAATTCCTCAGACAGATTAATTTAATCTCTGACAACCTAACAGAATAACTTTGTTAATGATTTTAAGCAGCTAGAGTTACTCACTGAGACCCCTGCTGTTTCAAGCTGCTGGCTGCCTTCCTGTCCTTCCTTTCTGGGGAGGAATCAGCAGGTTTCACGGTTCTTCTCTTCATTGTTTAATGTTCCTAACACCTCACTACTAAAACCTTCCAGTGTTTCCAAACTCCTGCTCGTGCACTTTGACCAAGTCTAGATTTGATGAAGGTGGAGTTTAAACACAGGAAAAAGGGGGGGAGGTGCCAGGGTTGTTAAGGTGGTACCGATTCAACACATAGGTTTTTTTATTGGAGACAACGCCACTGCAACTGGAACTACCTTAAATAAATTACACAATCAGCAAAGTTCAAACTTTATTATCCAGAAATGAATACAGCATAAATTAATCAGATAAATAATTTATTTTTTGTTATTTACAGATTCATAATGTAGATCAATTTTGCAAGTTTAATTATAAGCATAAACATTTGTGCTACAATTCAAAGAGCTGAATTATAAAGAGCACATGAGAACATATAAACAGAATAAAGTACATTGCAGTTGCATAATAAAGGCAGATAAGGAACAGTTGGACTACAATCAAAGTTAACAATCTAAATACACAAGTATAAGGCAACTCTGAACAAATAACTTTGGGTTTCAGCCCTTCGGGAAGTTTGTTCCAGATGAGTGGAGCAGAAAAAGAGGTGAGCTAGTCAACCTGAGTGGTTTATAAAACAGACAACAAATCTGTAATATGTTTTGGTGCAAAGCCATTCAGCTAAAATAAATATTTTAAAGTATATTATCTAATTTCTCTTTAAAAAAGGTAAAACCAAGAGCAAGTTAAAGATAAATTAACCCATTGTTACACATCAGCAGTAGAGTTCAAACAATCACAAAGAGAAAGCAGTATACTAAAAGGTTTTTTTTTCTGATTCAGGAAATCAAAGCACCACATAAGAGAGTGTTTTATGAGATAAGAACGACACTCTAAGAAGTTCCAATGACCAAACTCCTGAGATTTCCTGCAGGTTTATTCCTCCTGTGCAGGCGTTATTTTTTTCAGGGTTGGTTCTACAGCTGCCTTCATCTGAGGTGTTCCAGATCAGGAGATCAGCAAAGCAGGAGAACAGAAAAAGTTAATATGTTACAATGATCACAGGCTTTTGCATACAGTTGAAATGCTTGATTTAAAGAACATGCTGTGCAGACAGATTTGTTTGCAGCTCTGGTAAAGCTGTGCAAAAAGCTGAAGCAGAATTTAAAATGAAACATTTGAGGAAAAAAAAATTGAAGCAAAATCACTCATGCCCCATTTTTTGGTAACTCATAAAGCTTTCGAAATTATTGTTGCAAAAGCATTTAATTTTTTTTTCTAACTGACTGCCAATGAACTTGTAATTCCTATCTATGCCTTTCTGTTCTCCTGGCGACATGAATTGACTTGGGATAGAAGCAAATAATCATTCAAAGGCCACTGTTAGAAATAAGAAATAAAAAGTGACATCTGAGGGTCAAAACAACCATCACAACCATCCTACCATCACACTGCAAAAAATGGAAATCTAGATAAGTCATTTTTTTCTTAAACTAAGTGCATTTTTTCTTGAATTGAGGAGGTATGTGAGACACTTTGCCAATGGAACAAGACAATTTATATTTAAAATAAGAAAAAGGAACTGCATTGTCTTATTTCAAGTGCATATTATACAGTTACCTTATTTTAAGAGTAAAATACTCATTCCATTGGCAAATCATCTCATTTACCCACTAAAATTAAGGTTAAATACACTTGATTTAAGACATTTTTACTTATTTCTAGATCATTTTTGCAGTGCACAAATATACCCGTGGAGTTCTACTGGAACCAGAATTCAGTCCGATCTATTTTGCTTCTCCACAGCAAACCTCTTGGTTGGTTTGCCTTGACTGAACTGATAAATGACAAAGCTGCTCAGGCAAAGTTTTAAGTATGGTGGAGGATCTGTGATGCTGTGGGCTCGTTTTTTTTTTCCAGAGACATTGGGAACTTTGTTAGAGTGAAAGGCACTATGCTGGTGAAGATACTCAGTCATCCAGGTCACAGTCATTCTAAAAAAGTATCAAATTAATTAGACTTTGTTTCCCAGTTTGGAGATGCTTCGCTTCCCATCCAGGAAGCTTTTTCAATTCAAAATATCAGAAATAGTGTTGAGTTTGAGGTTTCATGGTGTGGATGAAAAACAAAGCCTCTTTTTGGCTTTGAAAACATGCAACTTGAACCGGAAAAGCAGGGAATGGGGAGATGTTTGGGTTCTTTTGTTAGCCTGTAATACCAGGTACTGGTCTATGCCTCTGAAGGGGGGGTCATTAGAGGGGATTGTTGGCTGAACAGGCGGGGTTCTGGTCCCCTGTAAGGGGATGGGGGTTCTGATGACAGTGGGAAGTAATTTACTGTAGCGCTGCCTACAGTACAGATAGTGCAAAATGTCAGAAATAGCATTTATTTCAAGGCTGGTAAAAAAAAAAAAAGTCTCACTTGTCAATGTTATTTGATAGACATATGAGTACATGTCTGTTAGAATAATTGTATATAAATGTTTTTGTGTAGTGTTATCATGCATAAAGCTGTATGCTATGTGCGTGTTTTCATAGCCACCTTTTCTGAAGTATACTGTGATTTGTGGATTTGCTTTTGGGGAGGTTGTGGTTGATCTACGGGCAGCACTCGACCTGCTGAACTTTGAACAGCTTCAACAGCTTAAACTTTGACTGAACCCTGAGATTTAGAGGACATGTTTACTGAGACTGCAGAGTGGGGTGGAGATTGTTAACTCCGCAGTCTCTTCCTGCTCTCCTTGCAAGTAACTAAATTAATTGTGCTTTCTTTCTTTCCCTGTATGCATGTATGATGTTTTAGGTGCTTAGACCTGACAATGTCCTTGCTAATAATGCTACTGGTGTTAGCAGTGCTGTTAAGCCCTGCCCTCCAAGCTGTCAGTTTTCTATGGCACAGTCAGGATTTATTTAGTAGCTGCATCAATGGCCACCATCAGGTTTTCTGGTAGTTCAGAGGCAATGCCAGTAGCACCAAAAAGGACCATCAAAACACTACCAGGATAAAAGCTTGTAGCATAGCCTGATTTGAACATAATCCACTGGTTTTTGCTCTTTTTGGTACAGGCATATTACCTGACTGTGTACCTTTAATGGTTTTAACTCCTTTATAAAGAAAAAGGTTTAAGAGTTTCAAATTGAACTTTTAAAGACAGATCGCTCCAGGTGATTTCTGTTTCACAGAAAGGATAAAATGTGGAAAAACATGTCATGCTTGTTGTTAAGTGCACTGAAAGACTTCGGTCACACCAGGTATAAAAATCAGTTTGAAATAAAAGTCTGCTGGACTGCAAATGGGCCATCAGTGGGTCTTTCAGTGGGATAATAACCCGACTTTTAGGGCCGAACAGAGAGCCCAGGAGTCCTGATGATTTAAAACAGACCGAAAAAGTTTAAAGGTCTCTCTATCTGTATGCTCCAAGCTGATGAAATGTTACAGAATTGGCAAAAACTAGAGTTAAACATGTATTCTAATCTGGATTATATGAATTTCATAGAAATATTAACCGAAGCAGAGCTTCATGGTTGGATTCAACATGGCTGATTGGGATTAAAAAACAACAAAAACAAGAAATTCCTTGAGGCAATTACAGTAGTAGCCATTCAAAATTCCCACAATTTCCTTAATTAGTCTTTGGCTGTTCCCCTACAATTCCTTTTTAAAAATCAATATTTGTATTAACATATTCTTTCTGTCATGATTTGTAGACATTAAGATCTAAAGGGAAGCCTTATTTCCTGGTCAGACCCTGTAATTCAGGGAAAAGGGTGGAGTCAGAGTAAAAAAATATGCAAGAGGGGGTCACTGCATTTTTCTGGGAGATGGAGGGAAGTGGCGTTTTTACTGGAATGGGCCATTTTGAATGGCTGCTACTGTAGGTGAGGTGATCTTCACAATGTAGAGAGGATAAGGGGCCTCTGAGGGGCCACAGCTGTCAGTAGTGTATAATGGCTCTGATCAACAATCCTGTGCTTCGGCCTGTATCAGGGAGCCAACAGAGAGGACGTTAGATCCGGTGGAACAATCAGGATTTTGGTGACTCAGATAAACGCCGAACGTCACCTAAAAGTGAAAAAGAACAAACATATTTTTAGTTTAGCAGTGGCACTTTTTATACTTTGACACAACAAACCCCCCCACATACTCACTAGAAAAACGATCTAGACCAAAGGTCTTCAATAGGGGGTCCGCGACCCCTACGGGGTCCACGGAGGTACTGCATGGGGGTCGACAAAATTTTGTTTTTTTTGTTTTTTTTTACTTTTTTTTTATATATATATTCCCCCCTGCAATTTTTTCCACTAATTAAAATGTCTTTAAATACGCATTAACATGAATTCAACATCCTCATTTCATTCACACCTGTCCCATCAACGAGGAATACAAATCAGAAATACTTTAATAATCCCAGGGCGAAATTACTTTGGTTACATTACTCCATCTGTAATAGTGACTATAGGACCAGTTTGATGTAACACAATTTCAAACAATATATATATAATTAGGGGGTCCCCGCTTCATCTGGCCATCAGTTATGGGGTCCTTAGCCTGCACTGCAAAAACGATCTAGAAATAGGTAAAAAATTCTTAAATTAAGTGTATTCACCCTTAATTTGAGTAGGTAAATGAGGTAGTTTGCCAATGGAATGAGTATTTTATACTCTTAGAATAAGATAATTAGATAACATGCACCTGAAATAAGACAATGCAAATGCGTTTTCTTATTTCAAGTGTAAATTGTCTTGTTCCATTGGCAAAATGTCTATTTTACCCCCTCAATCCAAGAACATATACACTTATTTTAAGAAAAAATTACTTATCTAGATTTTGTTTAGCTGCATCACGGTGGCTGAGATGTGCACTGCAAAACTATCTAAAAATGAGTAAAAATGTCTTAAATTAAAGGAATAGTACACCCAAAATATGATTAGCCTTCATTTTCTACTCACCCCCATGCTGAACAACACTCTGGAGTACTTTTTTGATATCTCAAATGCATCTGGAGATCTGGGAGGCTTCTTGCTGTCTGCTGACATTCAAATAATGGAGGTCTATGGCGCCCGAGGCAGAAAGGTCCATAAAAGTCCACAAAAAACGTGTCAATATTCCTCCATACTGCTCGT